GTCTTTAGGGACTGAATGTCTTCCTTCCCAACAGCAGGATGAACAGAGAAAAGAAATGGCCAGAATTTTCACCCCATTATACTTAACAACAACAACAAAGAGTAGTTAATTAGAACTATTGGTTACTATTAGGGATCACTGCCTATAAAATGCATATACAATTGGGACATAAAGAAATAGAAATAAGTAAAATTAAGTTCGTTAGAGCTATTGGTCATTATTTAATCTTATCCTCTCATGAACCCTGAACGGTTCTTTATTTTTAAAATTGTTTCATGTAGGCTCCACACCCGCTGTGGGGCTTGAACTCACCACCCTGATATCAAGGTTGCACTACTAACCGAGCCCGCCAGGCGCCCCTTAACACTTCTTTAGTAACTGCTACTTCTAATCCTGTGATTAGGGATTGAGGCTTGAATAGAATTCTTATTTCACTCTAATCTTTAAGATTAAGCATCAAAAACACTTCTGAGAATATTGATAGAGGTTTGATCACCGGTTGAATTTAGGGCTCTATCTGACCGTGACCATGACCATGAAGAAAGGCTCTCTCCTCCCTGTTGTGTAAAGCAATCCTCACTCAGCTCGTTTGTATCATTTATACACCATAAGATTCGCCTGTTTGAAGTGTTGAATTCAGGGACTTCTAGTAAATCCAGAGTTGTGCAATCTGGTTTTCGAACACGTACTTCACTCCAGAGCGATTCCCTTGTGCAAGTTACTCCCCGTTTCCACCCCCACTGGCCCCAGGCCACCACTAATCGACGTTCTGTCCCTATGGATTTGTTTCTTCTGGACATCTCATGTAATGAAGTTAATTCAGACACTCTATGCTCTTTGTGACAGGCTTCTTTCACTTGGCATAATGTTCAGCCATGTCATGGTGCGAGTTCGTAAGTACCTCATTCCTTCTGACCCCCAGGTAATAGCCCACTGTACGGAGTCCCAGTTTTGTTCATCCACTCCCCAGCTGGACATTTGGATGGCTTCCACATTTTTGCTCTTAAAAGTCTTGCTACTTCATACACAAGTCTTTGTGGAAACATGTTTTGACTTCTCTTGGGTAGATACCTAGGAGTAGATTTGCTGGGTTGTGCAGTAACTTCTATATTTAACCCCTTTCTCAAAAGCCAAACTTTTCAAAGTGGCCGCACCAGTTGGCCTTTCCCTAAGCATGGTGTGAGGGGTCCTGTTCTGCTGGTTTAACTGACTTCTCGTCAGAGGTTAGTCCTTTCCCCCGAGTCCGACACAAGCTGGTAGGCAGATCTCCCAAACGTCACGAGTTTCCAATAAAACCCTCGTGATTCACTCCCTATTCTCCCAATCAGGTTCCGCAGACTTCTTGTTTTGAATCTTGTTACCTGATTTCCTAAAACACAGTTTGGGGTTACTCAAGAATTTTCCTGTATTCCCTTTCTCTGTGCCACTCTCCCCTACATGTGGCACTCACATAACTTTTTGTGGAATTTGTTTTTCAAGTATCTGTCAGCCCCAACTAGACAGTAAGCCTTCCGGAGGGGCGATTTTTGTATCCAAAGAGACTAACACAAACCATGGCAAAAAGTGGGCCTTAGAAAGTATTTGTTGGATGACTAGTTGACGAGGCAACGTATACATTTGGTTCAAATTTATACTGATTTCGCTGTCAGCCTGTTTTCCTTCAAAAGGGCTGACACTTCCCTCAGGACCGATTCATTGAACACAAGACACAGAATTGTAGAGTTTGCGGAAACCTTGGGGACAAGTCCAAATCTTTTAGTTCACCCGAAAACTCTAAGGCCTGGTGGGATGGAGTGACTCTCAGCCAAGGTGGCCGCTAGGAGCCAGCCAGGAAAATTCCCCTGCCATTGAAAGAAGAGGAGGGCCGGAGCGCTGGGGAGCCCAGGGGCTACCCCGTCACGGGAGTGGGGCTGCTCTGTGGCAGAATCCTGAGTGCCAGGCCTGAACGTCTTTCCTTAGAACAGGAACGTTTTTGGGTAGGATGTAAGATGACCCCATGGGTCTTCTAGTAGGTTAGTAATAGGGCAAGGGGGAAGATGAGCGGTCAGAGAACAGTCTACGTGTGAAGCAAGGAGGGAAGGCTTGGACTGGGCGGGGTGTTTGCAGAGGGAACTAGGGAAGGGAGGACAGAAGTCTGCAAGCCAGGGAAATGGTGGTCTCAGTGATGGCAATAAAGACGGGATAGAAGTGCAGCTTTGATGGTTTATGTGCCCTCTGCGGCCCCGGGGCCAAGAGCCTAGTGGGTCAGAGGGCTGCCTCTGCACTCACCATTCTGTTCCAATACGGGCTCTACCCCGTACAGGCGAGTGACCTTGGACAAAGGACTCCATGACTCTGAGCCTTGGTTTTCCCATCTGTAAAATGGGGGTGGTTAACAACGGCCTCCTAGGCTTGCAGGGAGGATTAACTTAGGTGATACATTTGAGGCACTTAGGCCGAAGCCTACTGTGTAGCCAGAGATCAGCTCACAGTGGCCTTGGAACCGGCCCGTCCTGTGATTTATTTCTGTCCTCACACAAAACTTCAGTCCGGGAGTCTTCAGGGGAAAGGAGCACTCCCTGCAGGAGCCGCTCGAAGCTGGACGCTCCATGTTTGAAGCTCTGTATAAGGCGACAGATAAATTCTCTTATCTTTTGGAGTCTGTGGGAGTGTTTTAAACTTAATTGGAAGTTCTTGAAAGGAACTGGCATTAAAAACAAAAAAAATGCCATGGGGGTACAATTGTCCAAGTCTTAAATCAGTCATATCTGGAAAGAAAAATTGAGTTCGCTATAGTCTGGTAGGGCTTTCAAATGTCCCTCCCGGGGCCTTGTGTAATCTCAGGAGTCCGGGGCTGCCCTGGGCACAAGGGCATGGAAACGCCTCTTGGACTAGAGCTGCCCCCCTTTCAACACGCAATACAACTTCATTTGAAGAAAAGGCTTCACTTTTTGGGAAAACTCGTGTAACAGAAATTTAACAAATATGCCAGACTGATAATGACAACCAAATGGCAAATTTTCAAAGAAATTCTATATAAAACCTCCAAGGCTTTAATTGGCTAGACAAATTCATGAAACATAGCTTCTGAAGACTAAACGAAGGAAAAAACTTCACAGGATACAAACACTGTACCTTTGCTCCAGTGGAATGGTGTCATTTTGCGCTTTTCTGATTGATATTAGTGTCCACACCAAGAGTGGGGGAAAACACAAATCAAATCTTGGGTAAGTATTTCATGCTTGCCGCTATCTGTTTAGGAAACAAAGTATTTCACAAAAGAACCACATTCCATTAAAAGTATGTTTGTTCTGGCTGAAACATAATCATTTCCTCAGGAAGTCTGATTCAGATGAAGCATCTTAAGAAATTCAAATTGACTTTGCTTGTAGACAACTGAATGTCACCCTCATTTCTGAATTCCACGAAATGTTTTCAAAATTAACTCTGCCATTTTAGACTATGCTTTTTTTTTTTTTTAAGATTTATTTATTTATTTGAGAGAGAGGCGGGGAGAGGGCAGTGGGAAGGGGCAGAGGGAGAGGGAGAAGCAGACTCCCTGCTTGGCAGGGAGCCTGACACAGGGCTCCATCCCACAACCCTGAGAGATCATGACCTGAGCTGAGATCGAGAGTCGGGTGCTTAACCGACTGAGCCACCCAGGTGCCCCTAGACTATGCTTTTAAATATCAAATATGTATTATTTCATGGCCTTCACTCCCTAGTAAATGTCAGCTCCAGTTATTTCCTACATTTTAATGAACTTTTGTTTATTTACAGAAGCTTCACTTTTTAAATGTGAACTTTTGAGTATATTTCTAGATCTAAATAAACCAATAGGGAGGAGGAGAGTATAGGTTTAAGAATTCAGACTCTGGGACCAGGCTACCTGAGGTCCTGTCCCAGCTCAGCCATTTATGAGCTCTGTGACTTTCCACAGGTTACTTCACCTCTCTGTGCCTCATTTTACTTATCTGCAAAGTGAGAATAATAATTGTGCCTTTCGGGCACCTGGGTGGCTCAGTCGGTTAAGCATCTGCCTTCGGCTCAGGTCATGATCCCAGGGTCCTGGGATCGAGTTCTGCGTCAGGCTCCCTGCTCAGCGGAGAGCCTGCTTCTCCCTCTGCCCCTCACCCTGCTTGTGCTCTCTCTCAAATAAATAAATAAAATCTAAAAAAAAAAAAAAAAGTACCTTTCTCAGCAGACAGTGAAGATCACAGGAGTGAACATATATATGTAAAGCACTGGGACTAGCACCTGGTACACAGTAAGTGCTCAATAAATATTAGCCCCTGTTAGCTATTGTTAGCTATTCTTGGTTTCCTAGTGTAGGCAGGGTATGCTTTGTCTGGTTTAATTGAATATTCTAGTTGATAAAAGGTTGCTATGGAGATTATTTAATAGATGAGCACTCTTGACACAGAATATAATCAAAGATGTTCAACGTAAAGACCTGGCTGGTCCTAAGTCCACAGACGTTTGGGGCTGAAGGGACATGAGAGAACATCTTGCTCGACATCTTTATGTCACGGTTGAAGACCCCAGGGCCCAAGAGCCTGAAGCCACTTGCAGAGAGCCACCGAGCAAGGCGGAGATAGTCAGGATGTGGTTGTTTCTAAAGATACTTCAGGCTCTCGGAGGGCCGTAGCAAAATTTCCATTAGGGGCACCCAGTATCATTGCACTGATAAGCCTGTTCACCGGGGCATTCTCTGCCGGTCAGTCAGGATGACAAACAGAAGCATTTACCCATTGGGAACTGTCGATACACAAAGTAAATACAGGTCAGTAAGCTGGCTCTGCTTTATAACCTCATGCTCTCGTTTATGATGCTGCTAGACAATGCTTGCCATGGGGGTCTTTCTCCATGTTTCCCTGTTAAATATCCTTCGAAAGACATTGTTTGGTTACAACCACAAGAAAAAACAGCCTGAAATATTAGAAGTAGGAGGGCCTGGCACCACCACGCCTGCACCCCTGGAACAATTTATACCTTGGGAGGTACACAGACAGGACACGCTGCAGATAATCAAAGTTTTATTTAAAATTATAGAACACTCAAAAATAAACAATATCATATGCTTGGATTTTTGTTGTGACATAGAAAAAGGCTTCCAATTACACTTAAAACCTTCAAGTTTTACCCCAACAAAGTACGCTATGCAGCCAGTCGAGGTGCTCTGAGAAACACTGCTGTCTCCAGGGGGCTGGGGTAGGAGGTAGGCTGCGGACATCCCTGCAGGGAGGTGTGCTTTTCCTACTCGGGTGGACGATTTTTCTTCTTGTTGTGGCTCTCAATGGCCCTTCTGAGTGCTTCATCCTGGATGAGATCAGACATTCTCACATCCGTGTGGCTACAGCCAATTTTGGGGCAACTGTCAAGTAGAAGAAAATCACGTAAGTTGGATGCCTTCGGCCTAAACTCTTCTCACATACAAGTATTTACATGAAGACATTTTAGCCACAAGGAGAATGTTCTAGAAATCGGGACCGATGTGCCCTGACTCATTTATTCACTGAGGGCCTACCTGAGCCTGTCCCTGCCCAGGGTCGAGAGCACAGGCAGGGGTCAAACAGGGCCCACTTCGCCTTCCAGTGAGGGACAGAGATCATCACTAAGTCACCAGAGAGTGTGCCATGAGTTCACTCGCATTAAGTGCTCTGAAGACAAAGAAGCAGGGTCAAGGGACAGAGTGTGGGGTGAGACTTCTCTAGCTGGAGTCAGGGCAAGCCTTACTGAGATCTTATCTAGAACAAGTGCTGCGTGTGGCCCTGGCAGAGGCAGGAGCCGAGAAGGCAGAAGCTTGGTGGCCTGGAGTAAAAGAGCAAGGTCAGTGTGGCTGAGATGCCCGGGGAGAGACGGAGGGCATTTGGAGAGGGTCAGGTGGGCTTTGGATTTTATTTTATTATTAAAATTTTTTTTAAAGTTTATTTATTTAAGTAGTCTCCACACACCCGATGTGGGGCTCGAACTCACGACCAGGAGTCGCACACTCCTCCGATGGAACCAGCCAGGCACCCCTGGATTATATTTTAAATATGAAGAGAACACCCTGGAGGGTTTGAGATAGGGGAGGGATGCAATTTGGTTTATGTTTAGGAACCCCGGCTCTGGCTGCTGAATGCAGAAGAGTAGGAGAGCCCCGCCACGGTGCGGGGCAGGGGGCTGCATGGCCGGGGCTGCAGGCGGTGGTCGGCTTCAGGGTGGAAACAGAACCTCTAGGACTTGCTGTGGGGTCAGAGGCACAGTGTAAGGGAAGAGAAGGGCTGAGCTTCATCAGGGTTGGCCCCCAGCCGATGGGCTCATTGGGGGTACCCTTTATCTCTACGGGGAGCAAGAGGGATGGAGTCAGGAGTCCCAGGTGGTCTATGTTCCCTCCGAAATGCCCACCCGTCCTCCCGGTGGAGAGACTGCGTGGGCTGGCAGAGACTCAGGGGAAAACTGTGGCTGAAGAAATCAGTGTGTGAGTCACCCATGGAAGGGGGGGAGGTACTTAAAGCCGCTGCTCTGTTTAGATGTGGCCCCCTCTGAAGGCAGCAGGCCGGAGGAAGTCACCTGATTTCCTCTCAGCATGAAGCAGACTTGGGTAGGGTAGAGTGCCCAGTGTCTGGAGTTAAGGTGACCTGGTTCTGAATATGGCCAACACCTACTTGCTCCTTATGAGACCACAGGCAACAAATGTTCCCTTCCTGAGCCTCTATGCCCTCAGATTTGAAGTGGCGGCAGAATTCCTATTTCCCAGGGCTACAGGCAACACGGTGCTCAATATTACCCCGCGTCCCCTTCACTATCTCCTAAGACTAGCATCTCTGACCATCGTTCTTCCGATACATTTTAAAGTGGCTGATCTCTCTGTATTGTGCATATATCCAATGCATACATGCACGCATTTGTGCACGCATTTGACCAGCTCTGTGCTGGGTTCTAAGCACCCAACTGTGCAATACAAATTTAGACTCCTGCCCACACAGAGCTCTGGCCCAGTGATCTGAGACAACTCTCCGAAAAGCACAGGTATTAAGACAAAAAATAACAGCTATAAGACAAGATCAAAAGTAATAAATACAAGACAAAAGATAGAAACCAGAAGCGGAAGAAAGCTGATCATGGGAACTCTGATTTGTCCAGTGGTAGGAAGCCCAACTGTTCAACATGAAGGAGAACCATCTTCTTGGCTGTTCTCTCTGGACCAAGGCATCTTTATATAAGAAAGGCATTAATCAATGTAATAGATAATATGCATGCTAACAATATTTATTTTTAAAATCATGAAATGTGCCCCATAGGGCAGGGACGTGTATTAAAATGTGACTGTAAAAAGGCCCTCATGGGAAAGAGGATCAGGTGGTCTGCCCAACTATGCATCCTTCTGCCCATCTGGCTCTGTGTTGGCGTAAGGTCTGGAGGCGCTTGAGACAGGTCCTACACTGGTTTCTCAAAGTGAATTGTTTCTTTAACTGTGAAAGTAAATAGCTGTGATTATGAGAAGGATACGGACACTTTCAAGACTTTAGAAAGGGCATTTTTTCATCACTTCAACTTCTGTGACGCAGAAATGCACCTCAAAGTAGGTCCCTGGGATGACATGTGCTGGGGTCACCCTCACTTCATACTTGTCACTTGGTGAACATGCACTGTGACGGCCGGCCTGGGGTCCTCCCCACTCCCGAGTACCAAGTCTTTAGCCCTGATGGCCAGATGGTGAATAAGCGTAGAGGGGGAAGTGGGGACTGAGGTGGGGAGGACTTCCTGGTGACATCAGCCGCCCTGTCGGTGCATGAGAGGACTCTGAGCATGTCTGATGGGATCAACCACACACTGCAGGCTCATTCCTCACAATGGGACAATGGGATGGAGCCCAGGGTGACGTGCATCCCAAACAAAGAAGTCTGACCTCACCTAAGGGATCAACTCTGGGGGACAGAGGCATTCACCCAAAAGCCCTCCCAAGGGGAGCTGACTGCCTCTTGACACAAACGCAGGCTCAAGAGTGAAAGAGACGTGGGCTCAAGCCTCTTGGCTGTGACCCTCTGGGCAAGCGGCTTTAATTCTCATGCCTTAGTTTCTTCTGCCATGAAGATGACATAGAACGTGGGGTCGCCAGGAGAAATAAGGAGGGCAATGTGCGACAAGGGTTGAGGCCCTGACTCTAGTCCGCAGCTTCTGCTCCCAAGAAGCCTGTGGAGAGGAGGCAGCCCACTGAGGGTGCTGGTGGGACATGGGCGAGCTACGATGCAAGGCTGCCATGGCAGCCTGATGAGGCGCGCTCTGCCCAGCCTGAGTGACGGTTCAGGGAAGACTTCCTGGAGGAGAGGTTGATTCGGGAGAGAAGGGAGAACCTTGTTTCTCACCCTATCTCAAATAAACAAACACAAGTTTTTCAGCTACAAAGGGTAAGACAAGGCCATAATGACATGATACTGAATCAGGGCACTCCTCCTCTGGAGAAATAACACTCTATATAAGCTTTAGTGCACTAATCCCCAGGACGTCCTGGTGAGCAAGTTAGGTGTGGCAACACCCAATCCTAAGCTCTCGAGTCATCGTTGTGCAGGAGTCAGACCTACAGGCCTCGAAAGAGAGACTGAGTCCTCAACTCGGGTCACTGACAGGGCAGAACATTCCATCAGAACATCGAGCAAGCATGAAAGTGTCTACTGAACAAAGAGAGCCCAGGTCTCAGGGGTCCCAGGAGGCTGCAGGGAACCTTGGCCTCAGTGTCAGCTCTAAAGTACAAGATTCGGAGTCCTGTGAGCTCCTGGATCTGGGTCCCAAGAATTCCAAGGTCCAATCCAGCTCTGGGAGGAGGTCTACGGATACCTCTGGAAGTCTGAGTGGGATGGGTTCCCATCATACCTAAATACACCGAGTAACTCTGTCCTCCCTCCTCTGAGTCTAAAATAACGTGTCACTAAGCGGTGAGGTAAGTAATAACAACACTGACAGTGTCGACCTTTCTAACCCTACTGCGTTCTGGAGTTCCAAAGGAGCTTTCACTTAAGTGGTTTGCTTCTCCACTGCCAAGAAATGTGCTGGTCCAGGCCTAGATTGGAATTTCCCCACCGCTTCTGTAATCCTAAGATCCTGGGAGATGCTGTTATTCTTTCTCCTCTGCAGATGAAGACATGGGGGCTCTGAGAGGCGAAATGGCCCGTTGGCCAAGAGTGAACTAGGGACAGTGAGCGCAACACCAGCACTCCGCTCTTCAACGACACATCCCTACTCAACTTCATTGTACTGCACGTGCTGTTCAATGGGACTGTTGGTTAAACACAGTTCCTGTTCCTCAGCGAAAAAGGAACGACATGACTGTGGAACACTGTAAATATCTTATTACTGGGGCAATCATAAGGCAGCTCTGTTAGGGAGATAACGCACGGCCGTTATTCAGGAAATTGTTTTAACTACTGTATTTAGTGAGGGCCGAAGTCTCCACAATTCTATCCTGATTCAAGCCAGGGGAGAGAGATCTTCGCAGACACCTAAGCACGGCCAGGACGATTCCAGTCAGTGCCCAGTCATACAACGTACCTGGATTTCCAGTCTGACAAAATGTAACGTTAGAGCCATCTAGGAGGAAGGACTAAGATTTCTCAAACTGGATGTGTCACATTTTTAAACAAAGGGGACCCAGAACTGCTCCGTGGGCTCACATGCATCATGGGAAATGACACTGCTTCATGCTCAGTCAGGAAGCTCTGGAGTAGCTGATGAAGAGGCCCTGAGGTGTAATCTGCTGCCAAGTGCAGCCGGTCTCCAGGACTCTGCCCACAGCCCCGCTGCTCCTGGGACACGCGCCTCCCCTCCTTCTTCCTGTCTCGTCGGGCTACGCCTCAGCCGGCTTCCCTGGGGTCTTCTTCCTCTGACTGCCTTCTCTTTTAATGCGTGCAATGCCTTTCTGAGGGTCCACGGGTGCTGAGGGTGAGGCGGTGAGCAGAGCAGGGCTGGCCGCGGGCCCCATGCTGCCCGGAGCCAGGCCACGGTCCTGTCCTTGGTGGTTCTCAGCCGGCTCTCACCTGCCGCCCAGAGCTGCCCCTGGGCGGCAGGTGAGTGGGTTTGCCTCCTCCAGCCATTACCTCTCAGTGACGTCTTGAGCTCAGAGCTCTCTCCCGGGTTCAACACCTCACATTTTCTGGGCCTCCGGGACACTTCCAAGTGGCTGTGTCGCTAGGACCCCAAGCTGCGCCTCTCATAATCCTTCCTAAATGTGTTTGTCACTCCTGCCCTCTCTGTTGGCTAACGAGCCCGCTACCCTTCTGGAAATATCCTCCACTCCTTCTTCCTCCCTTCGACTCTCAGTTGCCAAATCCTGCTAGCTGTGCCCCCAGCATGGGCCCCACTCTCATTCCCTTCTGCCTCAGACTGTTGCCTCAGTGAGGCCCCCATCATCAGTAACTTAATCCCCTGCAAACACATTCTCACTGATGCTGTCACCTCATGCTTTGTTCATCCATCTCTTGAATTGTCTTGGAGTAACTTCCTAACCTCCAGCTTGCCTCACCTGATTCCCTCAAAACCCTGCAGTGTTGTCTCATGCCTACCGAATAATGGCGGCCAGAATGAGGGTGGCGGTGGGGGGTAAGGGTACCGTTGACTGAGTCTTACCATGGGCCAAGGACTTGAAAGTACTTCACACAGATCGTATTCAAATTTCAAACATACCAGGGAGGCAATTACCATCATTATCATCAATTTATAGATGAGGAAACCAAAGAAACCATGACATTTAACATCTCTATAATGAATCTTGACACCACTCTCCTTACTGTTCTACTGTTCTTGTCCAGAGCACCCTTCTATTCTCCTCTCACAAAGAGTAATCACGACCGTACCTTCTGACCACCAAGTAGAACAGGCTCTGAATGGGGCGAGCCTGTTGGCCAGAAGGACTCTTCTTCATCATTCTCTGAAACCCTTCTCATTTTTTTTCAAGGCCCAGTAAAAACACTACATTCTCTCTGAACCTCCCACACTTCTTCCACTTGGACTTAATTGTTACTATCAAGCTATGAGAATCTGCAGTTTGCAGAATCTGCGCTCATGTTCTAGAAGCATGACAGGAAAAAGACATTTTTCTAAATGACAAATGTTATTCGTGTAATTCCAACGAGCACATACAATTCAAAAAAGCCAAAGGACATTAGAAAGTGGAACATGTAATTAGGAAGATCCTTTTACACGTGAGCCTGTTCTTGAAGTCACCATCCCCATCCTGGGACTTGTGAGAAATGTGCTTTGTTCTCAGTGCCTGCTCTTTCCAAATGTGACTCTGGGAGAATATCATAAACTTTAAGAAAGTAAGAGTTGTGAAACAGAACTATCTGGGAATATCTATTCTCAGCAATTATCATTTTCGCAAATTAAAAGGTTTTTTTTCAGAGAATGAACACAGAAAAAAGTCAGTAGAAAGAGAAGGCTCAGAAGTCCAGAAACAAAGGAAATTATATTCACAGGGAAAACGGAAGGTTCACTAGGGAAATACAACATCTCAATTCTAAGCTGGGACTCAAAACAGATACAAATGTACTCAACACTCTTAATTTTGCAGTCATGAGGGCATTCTTCGGGGACAAAGAGGGTAAATGACTTGACTGAATGACCATCAAGATATCTAGAGTCTCAAATACCCTATCTCTAAGTCCACGCCCACAGGAGGAGTGCTGGGGAATTCCAATTCTGGGTCTGGACCAGCAAATTTCTGGGTGATGGAGAAGCGAGCCACACATCAAAGTGACTGTTATCAGAAGTCCATTGAGAACTGGTCACACCTGCAATTCCATTCCTACGTCAAATCTGCGATAAGAGCACGAGAAATGCCAAACTGAATTATAGTGAGTCTAGCCAACCCAGGATTCCATGTTATCACAGGAATGGAGCCACGGTCCTCCAAGGTTGTGTGCCAGGGGGGTAGGAATGCGTGGGTGGGGGGTGGGCAGGGGGTGGAAATACATATAAAATACAGGTAAAAGGAAGATGTTCCAAACATTCCAATTGAAAAAATTTTTTTTCTCACTGAAGTGATTCATAAATTTACTTGAACCTTTCAGAAAGTTATTTAAATAATTAAAGATATGAAAGGTTTTCCCTGACAATTCAATCTCGATCAAGACCTCTGGATACAAATCTTATCTCGGAACGTTTTAACCAAGTTACCTGTATCGCAGGATGCAAAAGAATTTGCCATTCCTTCTTGTGTAAGTACATACAGAAGGGGAAAAAGAAATCTCTTAGTATCATAGTTCCCCTTAATCTTTTCTCAGGCTATAGCACAATTTCATGAACATTCCTATTAATTAATGATGAAACTTGCACCCAATTCCTTTTTCTCCTGTTTCAAAGGTGTGGCTGAAGTTGCTTCAGCTTCTTCCTGAGCAGACTACTCATTTTTCCGTCGTGTATTGTTTTTCCAGAAAGCCGGCTTCCGTGCTTACACCAAGAGGGAGGTGGGTGGGCTTTAGGGGGGACATGGAAGTGTCTTTTTGTCTAGCGTGGGCACACCACCTCTGACTGACCGCCACTGGGAAGGCTCACTTTCCTTCCGGTGCCGACTCACCAGGCCTTTTTCTTCCGCTTGTGCTTGGACTCAATCATGCGCACAATGGCTTCCTCCTCATAGGTGTGGCCACACACTTTATTTTTCACCGGCTTCTTCATTTCCACCTGCAATCAAGGAGACATTCAGCTTTCAGGAATGATAATGATCCACTTCCAGTAACTTCTCCAAGTCACCAATTACTTAGAACTGTTTTTTCCTCATCTGGGGGCTTCCCGTGCTCAACCTCGCAGTCTCGTGGCTCATTGATCGTAGATCATTGTTGGGGCAGATGGCCACAGAGGAAAATGCAGGGAGACCGTGGCACCAATGTCAGCTGGCTCGTGGGCCAAGAATTTCCTCCTCGATCCCTCAGGGCACGGTTGACTGAAAAGTCTTGCCAGCCCGGGGAACCTCCCCCATAGCCTCCTGGACCTCATCACTTTCCTTTCCTCCCTCCTCACCCGAGATGTGAAATCAAGTTAGAAAGCAAACATGAGTCTTGTGCCTCTATGAAGTGAATTGCTTTGTCTTTCTGGGAAGGAAGAAGGAGACAGTACCTGTGTAATGGGGCAGATGAAGTTGGTCTGACTTTGGGTCACAATCATATCTTCATCAACTCCTTCTGTTCCGTCAGCCTCTCTATCGGCTTGAAGACCATCTAGAGGGGAAAAGGGAAGTCGCTGAGCCACGTTGGTCTAACATTGTGCCAAGGACAGGAGGGAATGGAAGGAAGGAATGGAAGGAAGGCAGGAGGTTAATGGTTTCTCAGGGTCTGTTGGGTGGTAGGCAACCTTGCTAGGCACTTGGATGCCCGTTAACTCTTCTGCTCTTAAGAGAATCCTGCAGGGTAGGCAGGATTCTGCCCATTTTTGATAAGGAAACAGACTCAGAGCAGTGAGATACCTTTTTCAAAGAATTAATTTGGGAGGGAGCACTGTCCAGTAATCAAGAGTGTGGCTTTGGAGTCAGAAGGGCCTGGTTATCTCTTTCACTTCCAGCTGGGAGACCTTGGGCTAGTAAGATCTTTTTCGTAAAGCCTCTACTTTATAGCTTTGTTGCAAAGATTAAAAGAGATGAAAAATGTAGCATGCTTTGCAAAGCCCCTAGCACAAGGAAACATTCAATAAAGGGTAACTACTATTAGCTAGCTCAGGGGTTCTCAAACTTTTTGGTCTTAGAATACTTTTATACTTTTTGATATTACTGAGGACCCCAAAAAACTTATTTGGAGTTATAGTTACCAATATTTGCCACAGCAGACATTAAGACTAGGGATTTTAAAAATATGCATTTATCAATTCATTTAAAAAAACCACAACTCCTGGGGCATCTGGCTGGCTCAGTCGGTAGAGTATGTGACTCTTGATCTCAGGGTTGTGAGTTCAAGCCCCACGTTGGGTGTAGAGATTACTTAAGTTAATAAAACTTAAAAAAAAAAAAAACAAAACTCCACTGCATGTTAACATAAATGATATTTTCAAAACTAAAAGTAATTATATTTTCCAGAACAACAATAAAAGAGTTTGAGACAAGAGTGGCATTGTTTTTACATTTTTGAAAATATCTTTACTGTTTTGCTTAATAGAAGATAGTTGGATTTTGAGGGGACCTGGGTGGCTCAGTGGGTTGAGCGTCTGACTCTTGATTTCGGCTTGGGTCGTGATCTCAGGGTCGTGAGATCAAGCCCTGCATTGGGCTCTGTGCTCAGCAGGGAGTCTGCTTGAGATTCTCTCTCTCCCTCTGCCCCTCCCCCCACTCTCTCTCTCTAAATACATAAATAAATAAAATCTTTAAATAAGTAAGAGAAGATAGTGGGATTCTGGTATCTGTCTATGCATTCAATCTGTTGTGATGTCATGTAATGTAGCCTCTGGAAAAATACACTTATGGAAAGAGAGAGTGAAAAAGACAAGTGACATCTTAGTATTATTATGAAGATAATTTGGACCTCGTGGGTACCCGCAAAGGCCTTGGGAGAACCCTAGGGTCCCTGGCCCACACTTTGAGAACTGCTGAGCACATCATGGTAAGGCTGCCTTTGGAGAGCCTATGTGATTCTGAAATTTATGTTCTTTTCATTTCATCACACTTGCTCCTTACTGAGAGCAAACGGATGATGGATGGCTTCTGAATGGGATAATGAGACCAAGTATCTCATGTGAAAGCCTTTCTTTCTGGAGCAGGGAGACATCATTTTGCACAGACATCAAAGATCAATAGCTTTTTAAATGTAAGTGTTGACAGTGTCTTCCTTCCTCTTTCTCCCCTGGCCCCCCCTTTCCTGTCCTTACTGCCTTTTCTCTCCCCTTCCTTCTTTCATTCTGGCAAAATAACATCAATGATAATAATTGCTTTGTTTTTAATGTGGGAGGGAGAACCCTTGTCTCAGGTTCAGATGGTCCTGCACACCGTTCTGTTCCTAAAACTGACGGCCCGGGCCTCCCACCTTGGCCAGATGGAATGCCTGTCCAGAAAAGTACCACTGGGGGCAGGAAAAGAGCCACAGAACGCTCGTTCAAGGTCACCCAGTGAACTAATGGCTGGCACCAGGGATTCTGCCCCTAGCTACTCTGTTTTTGTAGGGGTTACACCTTGTTTTACAGACTACATGTCAGCTTCTTGTGTTTTCCTAGAGAAATGTCCCTCAAAGCAGCTCTCATTCCTTGAAGAAGGCAGGAGTGGAGACCTCAGAGCATAGGACTTCCCAGGCAGGGCATTTTTAACCATTGGCCACTCAGGTACTGTGCCTTCTAGCTTTTCAAGGACCTGTAAATATGTCTGAGCCCTTGAAAATCATTTGTTGGTTTCAGAACAGGAGAACCACAAAACTGGATTAATAAATGAAAAAGATTGACAAAATGTGATGTTAGATTAACTTCATTAATTGCTGACTTGGGGGGCGCCTGGGTGGCTCAGTTGGTTAAGGGTCTGCCTTCAGCTCAGGTCATGATCCCGGGCTCTCCGCTCAGCGGGGAGTCTGCTTCTCCCTTTCCCTCTGCCCCCCCACCCCCACACCAGCCAACTTGTGCTCTCTCTCTCTCAAATAAATAAATAAAATCTTTAAAAAAATTGCTGACTTGGTAATCAAAAATATTTCATTTGGAAGCAATATGTAGGCTGGATTTAGGTTTGAGCTTAATAATTCCCAGGTATGCTAAGATAATTGCTGATAAATAAATAGCCAATTATAAGTTACTTGTAACCAACCTATGTCCAAAGCAAAACTATGAAGATATTTTCAAAAAATTCTGTTGACGGGCGCCTGGGTGGCTCAGTTGGTTAAGCGACTGCCTTCGGCTCAGGTCATGATCCTGGAGTCCCAGGATCGAGTCCCGCATCGGGCTCCCTGCTCGGCAGGGAGTCTGCTTCTCCCTCTGACCCTCCTCCCTCTCATGCTCTCTCTCATTCTCTCTCTCTCAAATAAATAAATAAAATCTTTAAAAAAAAAAATTCTGTTGGCAATAAAAGTATATTTAATGTGGAGGTATGTTTGCTGTGATGTGGGATGGGACCTATGAAGGGTTTTTGTGCGTCCCAGGACCCGTCTTTCGTATTCACAGAGCGAAGAATTAGACTCCTAGAGGAATCCTTCATCAACCCAGTGGTTGTTCACAAGGGCTCAGGAAAGGTGGACAAGGAGCAAAGTCAAGGAGCAGAGCTAAGAGCGTTCTGTCTCTTTAATTCACTTTCTTTTTTTTTATTTTTTTTAAAGATTTTATTTATTTATTTGAGAGAGAGAGAATGAGAGAGAGCATGAGAGGGAGGATGGTCAGTGGGAGAAGCAGACTCCCTGCCGAGCAGGGAGCCCGATGCGGGACTCGATCCTGGGACTCCAGGATCATGACCTGAGCCGAAGGCAGTCGCTTAACCAACTGAGCCACCCAGGCGCCCTCTTTAATTCACTTTCTAAAACCTCCTCCTGTGGGCGGCTACTGCCAACTTCTGATTGTGTGTTTGGTAGTCAAAATTCAGGTCCCTCTTTGTCCATTTCTTACACAGCTTCTTCTGAGCTGATGGCAGATTATTTTTTTCCCTAATGGCATTTTTCTGACTGTAGATGTGATACTGTAGAAGTCACCAGAAACTCTGTTAGATGAATAACAGAGTTCTGCCAATGGGAAAGGCTGTGGGTTTGTTTTTTATTTTCTATTTTTAAATGTAAAAGGTAGAGGAAGAAGCAAAGCACAGCTCGAATGCAATGGCGACCACTAAGGAAGGCTGAGTGGAGAACTCAGAAACTGTAGGTGGCTATCAACATCCGTGATCATGAAAGAAGGTAACAAAAGTAAGACGGAGGAAGAATGCCAACAGTGAGTAATAGTTCGCGGACCGCGAGTCTAAAAAGAGAAAGATCCTCAATAGCTAAACCTCTCTTGAGATAGAACATTTCCTCACCTGAAATCGATATTTATAGAAAGTGATATTAATGTTGGGATCTCTGATGTGCTAATAGAAGGTCACATCTGGCAGTAAATATCAGTCACACTCATTTAGTTGATCCAAAGATAAGACTTTTTGATAAGCTTGGTAAAGGAAGACTGGAGAGAAAAATATAGATCATCTACTAGAACCATGTAAGTTTTATTTATTTTTTATTTTTTTAAGATTGTATTTATGTATCTGACAGAGAGAGACACAACGAGAGAGGGAACACAAGCAGGGGGAGTGGGAGAGGGAGAACCAGGCTTCCCGCTGAGCAGGGAGCCCGATGCGGGGCTCGATCCCAGGATCCTGGGAACGTGACCTGAGCCGAAGGCAGACGCTTAACGACTGAGCCACCCAGACGCACCACGTAAGTTTTAAAGCTGAAGTTATCTACCCTAATTCTCTCAAACACCTGAGAAATCTGAAATCTAAAGACATTATAGATTTTGTTCAAAGGTAGGCAGGGATTTAGTAAATCAGCGCACGGCTCTGTTTTCTTGGCCTGCTTAATTTGAAGCCTAAAACCAGTGTGTAGGTTCTGGGAGTCACCCTTTCCTCCCCCAGATTATTATTTTATTAATAACAGCACCTCAAGTTTACCGTCTTCTACATTGTAGCCACTGGACTGAGCACTTTAAATATATTATCACATTTAATCCTCGCAAAGTACCCTCTGGTATAGGCCAGAAAACTTAAGCCTCACAATATTTTTAGGGCAACAGTAGGAAATAGCGATATTATAATAAATAATAAATAAATAAATAAGTGGATTAAATCAATTTAATCATTATTAAAGAGATCACACATTTCCTTATTATAAAGTGAAAAGCAAGAAAATTAGTCATATTGCATTCCACGTACACACACAGGGTATGTTGTTAGAAGTACGTGTCGGCTGTCAACGTGTGATCTGGTGGGCAAATCTCAAATCCCCCCCTTCTGTCCCTGCCTGGGAGGGAGGGTACCCAAGCCACGTGCAGACGGCGGAAGTGCAGACAGGACTTAATGTTAGAGAGGTACCCATAAGGGATGTGTCAGGGTGTGAGTGAGTAACTTGGACATGATTGCTTCGGATGTCATAAAATGAACGTGAAGAGGAAAGAGAAACCACGGAAATGCTTGAAGTAGTAACCAAGTGCACAAAGAATTCCAGAAGTCTATGAATATTCCCCTGGGATGTAAAGTTAGGGGGTAGAGAGGGCATCTATTGAACCCCAAGATGTGGGTTCATCATCAGTCAGTTATGATGGAGAATGAAGAGCTAAACGGCTCTGCCTTCAGTCGTCCCCAGTCAGCCATCATCCTTCTAGCTGCTCAAGCCAAGACTTTTGGAATTATTCTTAATTACTCATTTTCCTTTGTTCCCCACATCGAGCCTTACTGGCAAGTTCTGTTGACTGGTTCTAAACTATATTCCCTAAGTCTAAATCGAGTAAATCTAGCCCCTTCTCTCGATTTCTACCATATCCCAGTCCAAACAACTACGGCCTCCTGCCCAGACCTCTGCAGTAGCCTCCTACCTAGAATCTCTGCTTTGAAAAGGGTCGTAATGCTCCCACACTCGCTTCCTGCAGTGGCGCTCACAGCCAACCTCCCCGACCAGTCTCCCTCTCACCCACCATGCTGGACTCACACTGGTCTTTTCTCTGTTTCTGGAACATGCCACTCTTTCCTGTCTTTGGGCCTTTACACTAACCTGACTGGAATGTTCTTCCTGCAGATCTTTGCTTTTCCTACTCCTTCTTGTCCTTTTAAAATGTTCATTTTAGTGTTATCTCTCTGGAGAGGCCTTCTCTGATGTCCCAAGCTAAAAGAGGCCACCCAGGCATGCTCTCGCACATTACTGGGTTGTGACTTCACAAGGCACAAATCCATAAGCGCTGTTTTCGCCTATCTCCCTCCCTTCCTCCTTTCCCCTCCCCCCATTCTCTTCCAGGAAAGCAGGGACTTTGTTGTCTTGCTCACTGGTGTTTCCTAGAGTCTAAATGTCCTTGGCGTGTAGGAGTAGTTCAATCAACATCTGATTAGTAAAGCGCTTCATCTGACAAGGCAAGGGTGGGCATATTTTTCACCAGGATGTACTTAACATATTTAATAGAAGTGGCAACACATACACATACACACACACACACACACACACACACCCTTGCACAATGATGATTTTTATAGCTTTTAAGCAAATAGCAGAGACTACTTCACTCCAGCTTGGGGTGCAGCCTTGGACCCTGAATTACATGTCAAAGGCAGGAAGTAAATATAAGTTTTACAATTATAGTAGGCTGTGTGGTAATTATAAAGGAGAGTCCAGACATGGTCTTGTGGTCAGAAAATACATTGGGTCCTGGCCACACACAGCCCTAGCATTAGTCATTTGTCTGTCTTCAGGCATCCCAAATTTGGCTACCAGTAAGACAGCTTTATGCCAACTGGGAATAAAAGTTGATTACTGTGTGCTTTTTCAATTAACCCTGAACATTTTTCTAAAAGTACTTTTCTCTTGAACGTTAGTAGCATATGAAGAAAATACTTTACAAATATTTCCTGCCTGCTTGAAATGCTTATTGCCCTGTCCAGATTACTTTCCTTGCACGATTCTAGTACAGCGTATTTGGAGAGGCTGAGCCAGCACAGGGAAGATTTGGGGGGCCTCCCTAATTGGGCAAAAGAACACAGCTAGATAGCTACAGCATTTCAAACTGTTTCTGCACGTGGGTCTAGGCCAATTCCGGACTGTTTCTCCTGCCCCATAACCTGTAACCTACGGCTGGGTCTAGGAGTGGCCCCACCTGTGAACTAGGGCTGAGACTCTAAGTAGAAAAAGAAGTACGTCAGCACGCCCAGTCCTTTCGGCTTGGAATTAAGAGCAGTGTGTGTGTGTGTGTGTGTGTGTGTGTGTGTGTGTGTGTATGGTTTTGTGGTCCACTCCACTGTACTCCTGATTGTCCAGCATTGCCTCTCAGTTTCTTCCTGAGACAGATGGCCTGTCCTGAGCCCACTAGCTGTTTGGTTGGGCCAACCTGCCACTGAACAAACGGACTCCTAGTTTCCAACAGTCTCTGGCTCTGGTTCAGACTCTGTGTGTGTGTGTGCGCAGCTTTTGCAGAATTAAGATGCAGATCGTGTCCAGAGAGGGTCTACATAATTAAAGATTTCCAAGATGTCATAACCTTCACAGGACGGCAAAATTCAACAAAGACTGAATTGATACAATTCAATCAGAACACTGGCTAGAACATAATAAGGACCTAGTAAATGTCATGTATCATATAATATATGTTTATTATAATCAATGTTACATACTTATATAATTGTAAATTGTTACTGCCATTATTATTTTGACCACTACCATGTGCCAGGTACTGTCCCTGGTGTTGGCAAAGAACAGTCCTTGCCCGCAGGGAGCTCAGTCACAAGGATCTTATATATATAATACAAAGTAGTCTTGGGAGGATTATGCATATACAAGATACCAGCAAAGAAGCTCCCAGGATTGAATAGGGTTTGCCTGAGAAGCTCATATCTGATCTGTATCCCTGAGAAGGTACTTTCAACCTACATTTCTGAAGCAATTCTGCTGCCCCCCCTTCAAAGTGAGCATTTCACTCATAGCCACCTCAGGTCAACATTCTGACCAATGTTCTTCCTTTCCTTGGCTGTAATCTGTATTCCTCTCAGATTCTATGTACTTGGAGAAGCTATCCAATCCAACCCAATCCAACCCAGTCCCTGCAATGAAGCTCCTTCTTTGAAATCCGGTAACACCTGCTGTCTGTACTGTATTCTTAGCTTGAACTTCTTCATTCTTCAGTTGTTTCATGGAGATAGAAGCTGTTTTCCAAGTAGGCCGAAAGCTCCTTGAAGAGAAGCACTGTGTGTTCAAGTCAAGCCAACTCAACGCAAGCTGCATTTATTGAACATCTGCTCTGTGCCAAACACCACAAAAATGCCAGGCGCAGACGCGGAGAGGATTAAGATCAGGTCTGGTAGGAGAGACAGTTACAAATACTAACATTTTGCGCAATTAATGTAATCATAATAATGTGTTTTGAATAAAGTATGCAAGTAACCTAGAGGATCTCTGAAGGTGGGATGAGGAACGAAGATGAACCTCCAGGAGAAAGTGATGACCAAACCAGATTCTTCTGGGAGGTAAGAAGTGGGAACTACTGTAATTAGGAACGTGGGCTCTGGAGACAGCCCGCCTAGGTTCAAATCCTGGTTGCATTGCTTTATTAGCAGGGTGCTCTTGGGCAAATTGTCTTTTCTTTGCTTCAGTCTTCTCAGCCGTCAAATGGAGCTAATAATCATACCTACTTCACGGAGCTGTATGAGGATTCAATGAGTTGATCTATGAAAAGTTCTTGGAACTTGGAATGGTATCTGGCAAATAGCAGGTGATCAGCAAATACCGTTATGATTATTAATATTATTATTACTCAGAATTCCCACAGAGCTAGCATAGAGTGGGTGTGTACAACATATATGCTCAATTAAGTAAAGATCACGTGCTATGGAGTCACCCCAAGAGAAAGGACATGACCGTCCAATCCAGGACTCGAAATGGGATGAGCACTTCCATGCCCCAGGGCAGAGTGAGGCCTGCACAAGCCCACTTGTACTTGGCTGACACAGCACTATCAACATCTTCAATCTGCTGTCCGCTCTCACTTCCATGGCTCTTCCAACACACCCTCCCAAGATCTTGAAAGCAAACCGAACGAACAGTTACAGATTATTTTTTCCAAGTGAGCCGACATTTTAATAAGATGGACCCCTTCACATTATCACGTACTTGTTAATTTACCTACTCTTGTTCTGGACATATCCTTTGTCCTTGGCTGACATCATGTGTTAACTTGCCTCCATTTATTTAAATACAGTCAAAATATGGCATATGTCAAACTATGAAGGTTTTATTTATTTTTTTAAAAGATTTTATTTTATTTGAGAGAGAGAGCGAGAGAGTGCCCACGAGCGGGGTTGGGAAGCAAAGGGAGAGAATCTCAAGCAGACTCCCTGCTGAGTGTGGAGCCCGACGTGGGGCTCGATCCCAGGACCTTGACATCATGACCTGAGCCGAAGTCAGATGCTTAACCAACTAAGCCACCCAGGCGCCCCACAAAATATGAAGGTTTTAAAATAACAGAACCCAGTGCATTGTACCGGTGGGGCAAAAACCAATCCGTCAAGATCTGATCATACAGTATCCATTTTAAGCCAATAAATACTGAAAATCTCCCCAAACTCTGTACTTGCATTTAGTGCTTCTTATAGGATAAGGTTTATAAATGATCTTCTCTAGGTTACCAAGCAAAATCAGGGGACCTAATGTACACATTCTATTTCTTTGTTTTGGGCAATTAACTAGAAAACCATAGGATAGGAAAAGCCTGACTAGCTAGCACTGGGAGGGTCTACAACTCTTATTAGTTATTCACATCCATGGTAGAGTACGAAGCAAGCACAGATCAGAAGGTGAGAAATCCCTTTCAGGCTCATCTGATGTATTCTTTATTTTGGAGGGTTGGAAATACCACCCATCCAGGCATCCAAGACGGTACATGCGATTTGTTCATATACCCTTTCCCATCTCTGTCTTAAAACTTTAACAAACTTCACTCTGTCTCTTCCCCTCTGTTCTCACTGCTTCTGTCCTAATTCAAGCCCCTGGCATTTCCTATTTAGAATATTACAAAAAGTTCTTCATTTATCTGCCTCAGCCTCTCTGCAATCTAGTCCCCCCTCTCTCGGTAGTTATCTTTCTAAATCCATGGCCTCCTAAACGTGACAAGACTTCATTAGCTGGCCCAGAGCATCTTCGCCTCCTTCTGCCATCCACCTCAGTCCCATCCCGCATATCCACCCCAAACTGATGACTGCCCACACTTGCCGTGGTCTTCTGCACCTCTGCTAGCCCTTCACCGAGCAACCTCTGACTACTCTTCAAAGTCAGTATTTCCTCGGTCAAGTCCCAAAGCAGACGTGATTCCTCCTTCAGCCTCCCGAGTGTCTTTGTACACATGGTGATCATCTGTTTACTTCTCTACCCTCCTCTCACACTGAATTCCTTAAGGGAAGGAACTCTGCCTTATTGATCTTCGTATTTTCAGGGAGTCCAGGCAAGGTGCAAGGACTTAATAAATGTTCAGTGAACACTCGGTTGCTGAAACAATTGCTTTGACTATTATAATATAGAAATTGATAAGATGAAAACAGTGAAGAAGACTGTTTTGAAGGCAAATAGTGTGGAATAAGACAACCTGGTCCTTGATCTAATTACTAATTTTCCAGAAGGGGGCCATAGGACACTACCTAGGTCATGCCACTCTATATTTTGTGTTCCACGTCTGTGCAAAAGCAAATTACCAAAATGCAAGAGGACAGAGGTCATATTCCAAGAAAGAAATCATTCCACATGATTGGTTCTGATTCTGTCTGCCCCAAGCCATCTACGTTCATAGGAAAGTATAACAATCAGTCATCAAACGTGAAAATTATCTTGCATTTGCTGAATTTCCCCAGGTAGGGCAGAGTGTCCATGCAATCATGTTCAAGTCCAGCAGTTCTTATAACAGAGCAACACTGGGGAAATTTCCTTATCTGACGGACTAAATTTAACTGAACTATGGCATCACCACTCACAAGATCTGATAGTTATTGAAAACGATCTTTACTGTCGGAAAATGCTTATGTTATAACATGCGGTGGAAAAATGAGCTTCAAACTATATATGTAGTATGATTAATTAATTTTGAAAAATGGGATAGAGAAAGAGAATGACACAAGAATGTCCCTCATGTCCCTGTGAGCGGATGGTACAGGAATCAGGGAAGACATCTAAGATTTCTGAAGAATAATTATCTAGCTCTCACTTTCCATATCTAGCACTCTTCATGAGACCAAGTAATATGTATGAGATACATGGAACTGACAGCAATGGGGATGGGATGGATTTGTTTATTTGATTTGTCAAACTGAAACAAATTATGAAATCAAGTCCAGAGATCATAACATTAAAAAAAGGAACTTTAGAGTTTATACTTGCTCAACTTTAAAACTGCAGAGTTTCAATTTTGGGTAACACAGGGACTATGACACCATTGCAAGCCCTGGTATTTTCTAGCTGTATGATCCTAACAACATTTGTACTATTTCAAACTTGTCTGCTCCCCTACAAGGCAATAATACATGGCAATTTCATGTCTATCATATCTTTTCCCCCCGGCCTCTCATTTCAGAGCTCCAGACAAAATAATAACCAAATACCTGAATAGAACAGGAGGCTTTAATAATAGAATAAAGTTGGGGCTACTATCGTACTTAGTTTTATAAAGTTTCTCAAAATTCAATGACATTTGTATCCCCCAAGGATAAGAGATGAAGAGCCACGGAAGGCATCCATTTAGGGAGAAAGCTCAGAAAGGGAAGCTCTTGTGTCACCAAGTGATGCCAGGCCTGGAGTTGGATCACATACCCGATGGGGTTGTTACAAAATGCCACAGCATCTTGGTGATAATTAAATATGCTTACTTTTCCTTTTTACTTGCATTTGATGAGGAGTACCAACATTTATTTTTGATACATTTAAAAATTCGTTTTTTATGATGGCACAATGTAGTCATGTTAAAAAAAAAAAAAAGACAGAAGAAAAGAAAAAAATAATGAACGAACAATCCCCAAAGTGTACTCAATATGGAAGAAATTTAAAAAAGGTCAGAGCCTGAGGGTCCAAATCTAGTGAGGCTTAACGATGCTGTCAGCAACAAAGTCAGCAAAGCCACCCAAATGTAGCTCAGCTCCCCAGCTTGCAGAGTGCTCGGAGCCAATCAGGGCAGGCCTAAACTTCCAACAGTAATGAATCCATAGACGCTCTGGTCGGCCTGGACATCTGTTTTCAGTTTGCAGGGTCTTGTCTGAAGTTAGTCTAACAGAAAACATACCAAAAAAAAAAAAAAAAAGCCTGCCAAGTGGAAAGAAGAGAGAGGGAGAGAAAGGGAGAAAGAAGAAGAGGAAGAAGGAGGAGAAGGAGGAGGAGGGGGTAGGGAACGGAGGGAGGAAAGGGGGAGAAGCAGACAGACAGGAAGGAAGGAGCTAAGGGATGTGGGAAATCTTCAATACCACAGAGCCCAAGGAAAGGCACCTCCACTTACATACCCTAGCACCAAGTCCTGGTCCATAAGCCTTCCTTCCTCTCCCCACATCCCGCCCCCGCACCCCCCCTACCCCCGCCGCCCTTCACTTTCCACCCTCTTGCAAACCTTTCCCGCATGCAAAGGAAGACATGACTTCAAAATCGGGATCAGCTTAGGACATAGCTCTTGTGAATGTGTACAATAGATCTGAGTCATTTGTTCGTTTTGTAAACATGAAGAAATCACACTTTTAAAACTTCCTCCTTCATGACATTCGTAGCACTTGATGATATGCTTAGCATGGAACATTTACCCTTTTCCTTACCCACACCCATAGTGTCAAGAGGGACAGAGTTTCTCTCTCACTGAGAGCTCATATACTGCAGGGCAGGTGGCAAGAGGGAGCCGGAGAGGGAGGAAGAAGCAGCATTCAGAGCACCTGTGGTGTCCATGAGTCTAGGCCGAGCCACACAGGAACACAGAGAACTGAGGAGCGGCTCAGGAGAGTGAATGCCTTCCTTTGGGGAACCTTCCCACTCAGGGACCCCACCCCCACCCCCACCCTGGACACTTAACACATCATAGGTGATTATCTGTTTATGTCACGGTCTCCCGCAACTCAAAACCAGGGACCGCTTCTGTTCATCTCTGTATCCCTAGTGCATGGTGCATGGTAGGGGCTCAGTGTCAGGACATGGAGTTCAATCTTAAGGGGTCCCTGGTGGATCAAAAATTGTTCTGTTCCTTGCCTAGCTCTTTTGCAGAGAAGGGTTTCAATGCACAACCCAGAGAAGAGTTCTGTAAGGCGTGGACTTCAGGAGGGTGGGTCAAGCCCAGATATAGGTACCACTTGGCTCTGCCATAAATTGAGGGATAGGTGTTAAATTTCCTGGAGGCTGCCACTCTTCGTGTCTATTTCGTTAGGACACGGGAAGAGGAGATAAAATGCTTTGCCCTCATTAGAGGAAAAAACCTAAATGCATCAAAGCAGTAACAGAACCATCTTGGGTAAGGAGACAGTTTCTGAACTATAACCAGCAGGGTGACTGGATGATCTTGGTTTTCATTTTCAAAGCCCAGGGGGAGTCAAGTCTCTGCACTCCAGTGTATAGTCCACATCCATTCATAAGCTCCAGAAGATCCCATTAATGTGAGTAAAAGAAGAGAGTGGTCAGCAGGGACAAGATAAAGGAAGTAAGGAAAGAGAACAAGAGGAGAAATGAAGGCTCTCGGGACCTGCTTTACAAACTCAACAGAAAAATATAAAGATCTCAAACAACTCCCCTTCTGAGCTGAGGACTATGCTGTGGGCTTAAAGCCACACTCTCCAGCTAGGAGCGGGGGTCTAATCTAGATTGGGGGTGAGTGGCGAGAGAGCACCAAAGAGTGGTCCATATCCCCCAACATCGCAGGACAAGGTTATCTTACAGCTCTTCCATTGCCCTGACTACAATTCTCTTCCTTTGCTAAAAAAGGTCTCTTAAGACAAAAGAAAAACATGGTGGGCCTACTGGTTGGGTGACTGGAGAAGCCTCTCTCTCACTCTGACACCCTTGACCATGAGGCCCTCCAGGGTAAAGGGAGCAGGGGATTCAAGAGCGAGTAAAGGAGGCAGCCTCAGACACTTGAAGGGAGAACATCAAGGAGGCAGAGAAATTACGTAGGGGAGGTAATGAGCACACTAATTATAGGGGTCATAATGAGGAGCAATGGAATGAAATTAAGGAAAGGAAAATGTTAATTGTCAGGAAAAACTTTCTTGGGCCCACTGAGGGAGAGGTGAATTTCCCGTACTCTTCACACAGACCGGAGGCCATTCAGCTTAACAAAGCTGGTTCAAAACGAGCTAGAAATAATTTAGAGGGAATTTTATTTTTGTTACCAAAAGCAGACTAGGTTACTTGATGACACACAGAGGCCTCTTGTATCTAATTTTATCACTTTGTTCTCTATTCTAAATTAAATAGTAAAGTAGCAAATG